CAGGGAACCTGCCTTCCGAGCCTGCCGGTGTTGGGACACAGGGAGCAGCCTGGGCTGACAGCTCCACCACAGGCCCTTGTGCAGGAGGGGGGATGCCCGATGAAGACCCTTTGCAGGGAATGCGGCCCAGAGTTTGCCTCTCAACACAGCTCCTAAGCACAGGATGGGCCCAGGGAAAGACCACGGCCTCTTTCTGATTGACATGCTGGGTAAAACCAGAAGAAACAGCTAATTGTACCGCCCCAGGGTGGGGTGCCGCAGCAGGTCCAGGTGCCTGGCACAGTGCTCTCCAAGCCTCCCAAAGAAGACCACTTCCTAGAGAAGAGGGCCGATGTCTCTATGTGATCAGCTTCTCAAAGCTGAGAAACAGTGGGACCAAACTTCAAAAACCCGCAGGTGACTGGACCCTCACGTAGGACGCTGACCCCTCAGGGTCACCACCCTGGAAGCCACGGAACAAGAGCATGATTTCTTCAGCAAGGACTGCAGAGGGGTGACCACAGAAGCGAAGGCCAGAGTCCACGAAAAAGACACTGCACGCTGCGTGTTGGAGGTCACTGCATAGCCTGCCCCAGGCCCTGCACAGAAAGGCCTCCTAGTCCCCTTCCAGAGAAAACCCGTGGAGCTGGGCTCTGGATGCTGTCATATGTCTTGGGAACTGGGGAGCAATGGGCAAGCGTAGGGTTTGGTTGCAGATGAGACACACTGCCATAGAGGACATTCACAGTCTGTTCACAGTCAAAAGGCTCAGCCCTGTCCTCAAAAAAAAGTTAAAAAGAGGGTTAGCATATAATCGATTCCATGACCAGGTACATACACAGAGGAAATAAAATCAGTGTGTCACTAAACGTGCACTCCCACGTTTACTGCAGCACCATTCACAACAGCTACTACATGCATGCAAACTGAGTGTTCACAACGAATGCACGGATAAAGAAAATGTGGCGTATAGACACAATGGAACGTTACTCAGCCACGGGAGAGAAGGAAATCCTGTCATCTGTGACAACATGGATAAACCCGGAGGACACTCTAGTAAGTGAAATAAGCCAGGCACAGAAAGATAAATACCTCGTGATCGCATGTACGTGTGGAATCTGAAAAAGCTGAGCTCACATAAATAGACAGTAAAGTGGTGATTGCCAGAGGCAAGGGGAGGAGGGTGTGTGGCCGTGGGGGGCTGTTGGTAGAACGGTACAGAATTTTATTTAGACAGGAGGAATACGTTTCAGATTTACTGTCCAACACATTGACTCCAGCTAATAATGCACTGAACACTTGAAAATTTGAGAGTAGATTTTAAGTATTCTCAGCACCAAAGTATGAAGGGTAATAATACATAGTTTGATTTAGCCATTCCATAATGTATACGTACTTGAACACACCATGTTGGGCCGGTGGTGTGGTATAACCAGTTAGGCCGCCACCTGCAATGTTGGCATCCCATATTGGTGCCAGTTCGAGTCCTGGCTGCTCTACTTCCAATCCTGCTCCCTGTTAATGTGCCTGGGAATGCAACAGAAGAGTACCCAAGAGCTTGGTCCCTTGCTACCCACATGGAAGACCCAGAGGAAGCTCTGGGCTCCTGGGTTTGGTCTGGTCCAACCCTGGCCATTGCAGCTATCTGGGGAGTGAACCAGTGGATGGCAGATATATTTTTCTCTCTAATTTTGCATTTCAAATAAATAAGTTGTTAAAAAATGAAACATCATGTTGTATACAATATATACAATTTTAGTCAGTTAAAACTTTTTTTAACAAAAAAGCCCAGCTTGGCCTCTGTTGTTTTCATTACTATTTTTAAAAATGTATTTATTTGAAAGGGAGGGAGGGAGGAAGGGGGAGTAAGAGAGAGAGAGAGAGAGAGAGAGAGAGAGAGAATCTCCCATCAGTTCATTCACTCCCGAAACGCCTCCAGGACTTAATCCAAGCTGAAGCCAGGAGCTCAGAACTTGGCCCAATATCCCATGTGAGCGATACTCAAGTGCTTGGGCTATCATATACTGCCTCCCAGGGTGAGCATTAGGGAGACTGGATCAGAAGCACAGCCAAGACTCAAACGAGGCACTCCAATATGGCGCAAATGCCAAAAGCCCACCTCTGGCCCTTCTCCCTGTCACCATGCCAACCTCATGCAGATCTGAAGCTGGAAGACAAGCCAAAGGCTTATAGGAGAAGTTAACCATGGACTGGGACTTGCAATACAGTGGGAAAGATAACCCAAATTCTTAAACTTGCCAGTAAGTTACCATCAACCCTAAGGCAATACCAAAACCAAAGAGGACAGCCCAAGGAGCAGGAGCTGATGTCAGAGACAGGATGTGGCCCCTAGCATCAGGGAACACCAGCATGGGCATCTGCACACCTGTATCTGTGGGGTGGCAGTCACCACCACACAACTCAGAGGACACCAGGAGAGCCCAGGGCAAGAGACCAAAGTCCCACCGCCTTGGGACGCAAGCATCCAAAGGCATGGCCTGTCGGGGGTGGGATAACAGCGCAACAGTTCCCACCTTGCTTTCTCTAGGCACGGTTACCCTCTGTGGCCCAGCCCAACACCACGTGGCAGGCAGATCATAACCGTGCACAGTGGGGTGGGCTGGAGGTGAGGGAGACAGCTTTCTACACGCTTGTTGTTAGAAACCTACCTTGCGGGCCGGCGCCGCGGCTCACTAGGCTAATCCTCTGCCTAGCGGTGCCGGCACACCGGGTTCTAGTCCCGGTCGGGGCGCCGGATTCTGTCCCGGTTGCCCCTCTTCCAGTCCAGCTCTCTGCTGTGGCCAAGGAAGTGCAGTGGAGGATGGCCCAAGTGCTTGGGCCCTGCACCCCATGGGAGACCAGGAGAAGCACCTGGCTCCTGCCATCGGATCAGCGCGGTGCGCTGGCCGCAGGGTGCCGGCCGCGGCGGCCATTGGAGGGTGAACCAACGGCAAAAGGAAGACCTTTCTCTCTGTCTCTCACTGTCCACTCTGCCTGTCGAAGAAAGAAAAGAAAAGAAGAACAATGAGGCATAACAAACATATTGAAAACAAAAACAAAAACCTCCCTTGCATGGGTAGCAGGCGTTGTCTGCACAAACTGATTCTCCAAAGCCTGTGTCTGTGTTCACAGCACTTAAGAAGATGAGCTGCTTTCCTTCGGTTGCAAAGGGAATGGACGCACTACATGGGCAAGGTCAGCCGCCAGTTACTTTCCATCCGTCTGCGTTAATGGAGAGAAGCAGGCAGCCAGAGGGCTGAAAACAGGCGATCTTTCCTGTTTAACTCTTAAATACATGATGGGCTGGTTTTACAGAACTAGCTGCAGGTTTAGGTCTCTACTGCTAAGGTCGGCTGTTGGGATCCTCCAAGCCTGCAACTTAGCACCGTGGCTATGTAATTAACACCTGGCAGGTCCCAAATGGCAGGCAACCCTGTCCTGGAGGGCACTGCAGAGGGCCAGTGCCACAGACGACCCCAGGGGAAGACCAGGTCTCTGAGCCAGAATGCATGAGAATCTCACAATTAACAGAGGTGGGCATAGCCCTCCTTTCTGGTGGTTAGGGGACGACCTGTTTCTTGGTCTTATCAAAAGTGGGATGCCATTTTTAAATTTAAAATGACCCAGCGCTAGGCTGGTGCCGTGGCTCACTAGGCTAATCCTCCGCCTTGCGGCGCCGGCACACCGGGTTCTAGTCCCGGTCAGGGCGCCGGATTCTGTCCCCGTTGCCCCTCTTCCAGGCCAGCTCTCTGCTGTGGCCAGGGAGTGCAGTGGAGGATGGCCCAAGTGCTTGGGCCCTGCACCCCATGGGAGACCAGGGTAAGTACCTGGCTCCTGCCATCGGATCAGCGCAGTGCGCTGGTTGCAACGCGCCGGCCGTGGCGGCCATTGGAGGGTGAACCAATGGCAAAGGAAGACCTTTCTCTCTGTCTCTCTCTCTCACTGTCCACTCTGCCTGTCAAAAAAAAAAAAAAAACAAAAACAAAAACAAACAAACAAACAAACAAACAAAAAAGACCCAGCGCTGGCCGGTGCTGTGGCTCAATAGGCTAATCCTCTGCCTTGAGGCGCCGGCACACCGGGTTCTAGTCCCGGTTGCCCCTCTTCCAGGCCAGCTCTCTGCTGTGGCCAGGGAGTGCAGTGGAGGATGGCCCAAGTGCTTGGGCCCTGCACCCCATGGGAGACCAGGAGAAGCACCTGGCTCCTGGCTTCGGATCAGCGTGATGCGCCAGCTGCAGCGCGCCAGCCGCGGTGGCCATTGGAGGGTGAACCAACAGCAAAGGAAGACCTTTCTCTCTGTCTCTCTCTCACTGTCCAGTCTGTCAAAAAAAAAAAAAAAATTAAAAAATGACCCAGCGTATCCAGCCAAGTAGTTCTCAGATCTTCTTTTGTTAAAAGTTGCAAAGCAGGGGCTGGCACTGTGGTGTAGAGGGTTAAAGCCAAGGCCTGCAGCACCAGCATCCCATATGGGTGCCAGTTCGTGTCCTGGATGCTCCACTTCCAATCCAGCTCCCTGCTAATGGCCTCGGAAGGCCAGTGCAAGATGGCCCAAGTGCTTGTATCTCTGCACCTGGATGTCTGGCTCCTGGCCTCGGCCTGGCCCAATGCTGGCTGTTGCGGCCATGTGGGAAGTAAACCAGCAGATGGAAGATCTCTCTCTCTCTCTTTCTCTCTCTCTCCCCCTCTCTGCAACTCTTTCACAATAAATAAAGAAATAATAAATGATTATCAGTGAGGGAGGAGGGTGGATAGGGTGGTGGCAAGGCATCTTTTTATGTAGTCTTGAGGCTTGGAGACTTAACTACATCTTCAAAGGCCCAAAACGTAAAGATGCTGCTGGTGGAGCTGCTCGGGGCAGGCTGTGGGGAGCACCCCAGGGGCCCCATCTGGACAGGAATGCCTGGGCCTGTTTCACAGATGGGAAAGTGAAGGCCCAGGAATCCGCCCAGCTCTGTAGGTCTCTGCACAGGGCTGCACTCAGCCAGTTTTAGTTACACTCCCTGGAAGAAACAAACACTCGGTCCTTTTGAAAGATTTATTTTTAATTAAAAAATAAAAGTTATCTTAACATATCTGCATTGCAGCTCAGGGATGGCAACTGTGTGGATGAAGCAAGAACGTCTTAGAATGGGTACAAAGGCACACGTGTCTTCAAACAAACCAACGTGATTCAGAAACATGGCTAACAGCTCCAAATTCCCTGCTCCCAACTCTTTCTGGCCCACTCACCCCAACCCTCCCACCCCCAAAACGCAGGAAAAAAAAAAAAAAAACAACCAAATCATTACATTCTCTTTTAAAACTACAGAAGTAAGTGCTGAGTCAGCAAGGAGCCTGGGCCACTGCCCAAGGGCTCACAACCCTCTCTGCCTTGATGGCTGCCCAGGGGCCAGCAGGGGGAGGACAGCAGCTGTCCCCTGCGTGCCAGGAGGGGCTTCCCGGGCCCACAGCAGTTGCCCCTGCCCAGGGCAGGCAGCCGCAAGGTGCTGTCCCCCTTCATCGAGGGCATCGTGGCTAAGGCTGCCTTTCAGGAAGAAAGTGGCCCAAGGCCAGCGAGTCTCCTTCAAACGCTTGCACTGACGACACCAGAGGACTTCGAGAGGGAGGGAGGCGGGGAGAAAGGTGCACCTGTTCCTTCCCAGCTCCCCAGGCCGCTGGAAGCTTTTCTCTCCCTGTTCTCCCTGCCCTCTCGCCTTTCCCTTCTTCCCTGTCTCCCCCTGCCCCCTAAGACTTTTCTTTTAGCTTAACGATGGGGGTTCCAAAGAGACTACTGGCACCTCCTGGGGCTGGCCTGGCCGCTCTGCCACCTCCAAGGGGACACTGCAGGCTTCGGGTTCCCGCGCCTCGCAGGGCTCCTCCTGTGCCTGCGAGGGCTCCACAGGCTCCTGGCTCTGGGCCTGGCTGTTTAGCTTCTCCTCAGCCTCAATTTCTTCCGACGTGGGGATGGAGTTCTTCTTGGGACGACCTTTAGGTTTTGTGGGGGCTTCCTGTCCACCTTTAAGAACCTGAGTGAGAAAAACAACCGCTATTAAACCTGAGAAGTAACTCCTCCCTCCACCCTGCTCACGAAAGCATCTAAAGGATCAATTCCTTAAAAGAGTCACGGGTTTTGGCAAAATATTTGGTGGGATTTAAAAATGTTTGTGGAAAATTATTAAAAGGTAAGTTTAGTTTCGTGCAAGAAATTTGGAATCCACTGCATACAAAGGAGTCTTCAAAAATTTCATGGAAATGCATATTATGAAAAAACTATGCATGAATTTCAAAAACATTTTTACAGCAAAATGAACATCTTTCAATTCAATTTTCCATGAGCTTTTTGAAGTCCTCTCATATTCATCAACCATCACCTCTGGTCTACAAAGATGGCTTCATTTTTTAAATGTTCAGTGAACTCTTAGTCAATATTGTATATTCTGGCATTTAATAAAAAGATCATAAGACATAAAAAATCAATTTCAATAATAAAGAAATAAAAAAAGGAAATGTTAATGCAACCAATATCGGGTTGACAAATTCAAAGGGCAACAGCAGTTGTAGCAAGCAGGAAAATGAACACACACTGTAGAGGGAAAACTGTAACTGTTCAACCTTTACAAGAAAACCTGAGAATACAAGCCAAAAGCCTTAAAAATGTGCATACCCTTTTGTCACGGAAAATGTCTTGGCTAAACTCAAAGTGTCTTTCAAGACTGAGACCAAGACTGATCTGTAAAAATATTCAACACGGGCGCTGGCGTTGTGGTGCAGCAGGGTAAATGGATTAAGAGCTGGCTAAGTTCCAGCTGCTCTGTTTCCTATCCAGCTTCCTGCTAAGGTACCTGGGAAGGCCTCAGAAGACGGCCCGTGTTCTCAGGCCCCGGCTACCCCTATCGGAGGCCTAGATGGAGTTCCTGGTTCCTGGTTTCCGCCTGGCCCACACCTGGTTGTTGCAGTCAGTTGGGGAGTGAACCAGTGGATGAAAGGTCTTATCTCGATCTCTGTGTGTGTGTGTGTGTGTATGCGCGCGCGCGCGCATGTGTCTCTGTCTCTCATTTTCTGTCATCTGTTCAAACAAATAAATCTTTAAGAAATATTCATTACAACATTGAATATAAAAGCAAAAACTGGGGAGGGAAATGGTCCAAAGTTTCTTCTTTTTTTTTTTTTTTAAGATTTTATTTATTTATTTGACGGGTAGAATTACAGACAGTGTGAGAGAGAGACAGAGAGAAAGGTCTTCCTTTCCCCTTGTTTACCCCCTAAATGGGCCCCCCGGCCGGAGCTGCCCCAATCTGATATCCAGGAACTTCCCCCTGGTTTCCCAGGCGGGGGGCAGGGCCCAAGCACTTGGGCCATCCTCCACTGCACTCCCGGGCCACAGCAGAGAGCTGGACTGGAAGAGAAGCAACCGGGAGTAGAACTGGCGCCCATATGGGATGCCGGCACTGCAGGCAGAGGATTAACCTAGTGTGCCACAGCGCCAGCCCCCAAAGTTTCAACTGTGTAATGCAGTAGGTAATTATGGTATATCCCAAAGAGAGAAGGCTTGATGGCCATTACAATTATTATATAGGAGAATGTTTAGTGACATGGCAAATGCTGTGCATATATTTTTGTGAAAAACAGGTTATTAAAAGGCATAATGGGGACGGCGCCGTGGCTCAGTAGGCTAATCCTCCGCCTTGCGGCATCGGCACACCGGGTTCTAGTCCCGGTTGGGGCTCCGGATTCTGTCCCGGTTGCCCCTCTTCCAGGCCAGCTCTCTGCTGTGGCCAGGGAGTGCAGTGGAGGATGGCCCAAGTGCTTGGGCCCTGCACCCGCATGGGAGACCAGGATAAACACCTGGTTCCTGCCTTCGGATAGGCGCGGCCATTGGAGGGTGAACCAACAGCAAAGGAAGACCTTTCTCTCTGTCTCTCTCTCTCACTGTCCACTCTGTCTATCACACACACACACACACACACACACACAAGACATAATGGGAGGCGGCGCTGTGGCATAGAGGGTAAATCTGCCGCTTGCAGTGCTAGCATGCCATATGGGCGCCAGTTCGAGTCCCGGCTGCTCCACTTCTGATCCAGCTCTCTGCTATGGCCTGGGAAAGCAGTAGAAGATGGCCCAAGTCTTTGGGCCCCTGCACTCACGTGGGAAACTTGGAGGAAGCTCCTGGCTCCTGGCTTTGGATCGGTGCAGCTCTGGCCATTGCCACCAAGTGGGGAGTGAACCAGCAGATGGAAGACTTCTCCCTCTCTCTCCCCTGCCTCCCTCCCTCCCTCACTTCCTCTCCTTCTCTCTCTGTGTAACTCTTTCAAATAAATAAATAAATCTAAAAAACTAAAAAAGGCATAATGTAATTTGGAACTGAAGCAATCTTTTATACCGACTCATTTGTAGTATCAAGATCATAGATGTTTTAAAGTCTGTTTCTATGTTTTGTTCTATATTTTCTAAGTTTTCAACAATTATCATGTGTGTGTATATATATATTTCTGTCATCAGTAGAAAGTTGCCATAAAACCAGTCTTGTACTGCTCAAAGAAGTAGTAATGTTCTAGCTTTGAACTAAGGTCCATTTCAACTTTGCCACTATCAGCTTTGTTTAGGGGAAAGTTCTGTGAACACACTGAGACTCAGTTTCTCAATCTGAAAAATGGGGATGGTACTAACTTATCTCACAGGTGGAGGAGAGAGTGACCAACAGATGTGTGTACATAAGGGCTAGAACTTTCCTGACAGATTTCCTCTGCTCAGGACATGTCTCTCCACCCGGCTGACTGGTCCTGGAAGCTGTCCCTCACCCCTAGTCTGAATCAAATGCCCTCTGCACATGCCCCCCCTCAGAGCTGTCACTGCATGTGTATTTACCTGCCCCTCCCACTCAGTCCCTGCACACACAGGCATTTGACAACTTGTGCTAAATGAACAAACCTTTCCATAGAGTGGCAGATACCAAGCGGTCTTGGATGACCTCAAAGGACTTGCACTTTTACTATCCCAATGTGTGACCTGCACAAGAATCCCGGGAGCTAGGCAGGGGGATAACTTTTAAAATACTTATATTTTGCTCTGGAGTGTCATACACACTGTTCCATTGGCTCTGAACACTGGCCCGGTGCAGCTGTCGATTTTTCTAGGCAGCTGGTGAGAGGGGCTTTGGGAGGCCTTGTATTAGCACAGGTAATCAGGGTGGCAGGTGTTTCTGCTGCTCACACACCTGACTTGATACTGTCTTCTCCATCTGCACATAAGCTCCGGGAAAGCAGATCCTGCCTCTCTCCTTTCTCCTGTGCTCCAAGCATGTAACTCCCAACTATGCATCCACCGAATACTGATCAACGACCTATTCTTCCTTCCAGGGCAGCAGCCGACACGCAGGTGATAAATTTTAAGAATGAATGTACTGGCCGGCGCCGCGGCTCACTAGGCTAATCCTCCGCCTTGTGGCGCCGGCACACCGGGTTCTAGTCCCAGTCAGGGTGCCAGATTCTGTCCCGGTTGCCCCTCTTCCAGGCCAGCTCTCTGCTGTGGCCAGGGAAGGCAGTGGAGGATGGCCCAGGTGCTTGGGCCCTGCACCCCATGGGAGACCGGGATAAGCACCTGGCTCCTGCCTTCGGATCAGCGCGATGTGCAGGCCGCAGCGCGCCAGCCATGGCGGCCATTGGAGGGTGAACCAACGGCAAAGGAAGACCTTTCTCTCTACCTCTCTCTCTCATTGTCCACTCTGCCTGTCAAAAAAAAATTAAAAAAAAAAAAAAGAATGAATGCACTAACTGATCAAAACACAAGTTCTAGGCTGGCGCTGCAGCATATCTTGCAATGCCAGCATCCCATATGAGCACTGGTTCAAGTCCTGCCTGCTCCACTTCTGATCCAGCTTCCTGCACCTGGTAGTAGAAGACGGCCCAGGTGCTTGGGTTCCTGCCACTCACGTGGGAGACCCAGATGGAGCTGCAAGCTCCTGGCCATTGCAACCATTTGGGCAGTGAACCAGCAGGTAGATGATCTTTCTCTCTCTCTGTCTCACCTTTTCTCTCTGTAACTTTGCCTTTCAAATAAACAAACAGGTTGATCTTAAAAAGTCCTTTTTAAAAACTGCTTTGAGATATCCACGTAGCACCTAGTTCATCGATGTAAAATGCACGGGCTAAAGATTTTAGCATAGTTGCAGAGCTGTGCAACTGTCACCACAATGCAATTTTAAAACATTCTCATGGCCTCCAAAAGAAATCCCATACTCGTTAGCAGTCACCCCTTCTTTCTCTCCAACTTCTTCTTCCCCCCACCTCTGATCAGCCCTCTCTCTGGTCGTCTCACACAAACAGAACCACAGGATTCACGGACTTTGGTGACGGGCTTCTTTCTCTTAGAATAATGTTCTTGTGACTTACGCATGTTGTGGCATGTATCAGTAAACACTATGTCTGTTTATGCAGACACCGCATTGTACCGACTCTCACCCCTGTTGATGGCTGCTTGGGTCACTCCTACATATTGGCAGCTGTGAGGAATGCTGCTAATCAACACGGGTGCACAAATGTCTGTGCAAGACCCTCCTTTCAAGCCTTTTGGGTACAGACCCAGAAACGGGATAGTGGATCACACGGTAACCCGAACATGTTGAGGACTCAGCTTTATGAGTTACACTCTGACAGTGTATGCGGGTTCCAGTTCTCCACATCCTTGCCAGCGCCTGTTATTACGCCTTCTCGACTGCAGTCATCACCGCTGGCGTGCAGTGGCATCTCACCGTGCTGCTGGTTTGCATTTCCCTGGTGATAAATGGACTTTGACCTCTTTCCACATGTTGCCTAGCCAGGCGTGGATCTACTTTGGAGCAAGGTCTATTCATATACCTTGCTCATTTTTAAATGTGGTTGTCTTTCTGAGTATCTCTTATCCAAAACACTTGGGACCAGAAGTGTGGGGTTTTTTTGGAAAATTTACATATATAAATAAGGAGATACTTGGGGGACGGGACTCAAGTCTAAACATGAAATTCATTTACATTTTGTATACATGTTAT